TGTGTGGCCCACTCTTATCCGTAACAAATCGTACTTCCGGGTCTTGGTGGCTCTGTGTGGCCCACTCTTATCCGTAACAAATCGTACTTCCGGGTCTTGGTGGCTCTGTGTGGCCCACTCTTATCCGTAACAAATCGTACTTCCGGGTCTTGGTGGCTCTGTGTGGCCCACTTTATCCGTAACAAATCGTACTTCCGGGTCTTGGTGGCTCTGTGTGGCCCACTCTTATCCGTAACAAATCGTACTTCCGGGTCTTGGTGGCTCTGTGTGGCCCACTCTTATCCGCAACAAATCGTACTTCCGGATCTTGGTGGCTCTGTGCTTGTCTCAGGAGGCTGTTTGTGGCTGGTTGTCAGCTGAAGAAAATCTTTTTTTAGTGGCCTCCAGGCGAAATGGCTCACAAAGCTTGCCCCAGGAGGCTGTTTCTGGCTGGTTGTCAGCTGAAGAAAATCTTTTTTTGTTGGCCTGCAGGCGAAAGGGCTCACAAAGCTTGCACCAGAGGCGTTTTGTGGCTGGTTGTCAGCTGAAGAAAATCTTTTTTTGTTGGCCTCCAGGCGAAGTGAGGGTGGCGGTGGTCGTCGCGCTTTCTTTGCGCTCTGTTTGTGGGTCTTTCTTTAACTTTAACCTTCTACTGTCCCCTCTCTCTCTCTCTCTCTCTCCCAACGGGGTGGATTGCTGGCAGGTAGCCTTCGTAATGCATCCGGTGGCGGAGGGTGCGCGGAACCCCAAAGGCACAAAAAGCCTTGCAGTTTTGAGGCTGAAGAAGGACCAGTGTTCACAAAATCCCTTGCATTGTAAGCTCCAGGTTCTTAATTTGGAGCTTCGGGTCCTTAATTTTAAGTCCAAATCCTGAAATTCAAGCTCCGGTACTTAATTCAAGCTCGCGTCCTTAATTTCTTGTCGAGTCCTTAATCCTCGGTTCCGGGTCTTTAATTTAAGGCTCTTCAAAGGCAGCAAGGAGGATTCCAGGGGTGCCCGACCATTTGCACCAAGGTTTACCGGGGGGCCCAGAAAGGAGGATTCCAGGGGTCCCCGGCCGGTTTGCACCAAGGTTTACCGGGGCCCAGAAAGGAGGAATTCCCCGGCCGGTTTGCACTGGGTTATTATTACTTTATAGGCTGACAGTAGCGGCCTATTCACTGGAGCCGCGTGGACCTGAGGTCCAGGACCTACGGCTTGCCTTTCGGCCATCGCCTACGGTCCGGCAGGCGCCTTCCGGTCCGCCTGCTGCGGCCGACCCCATTCGCTGCGGTGGGGGGTCGGCCTTCAGTTTATAGAAATTGTATAGGGTTCAGGTCCCGAGTTTTGACCGAGTTTTGACCGAGTTTTGACAAAGTTTTTACCGAGTTTTGAGCGGGTTTTTGTTTTTGCTTTGTCATTTTGACTTTGGGAAGTGGCTGGGCTGGGCTGGACCGGCTAGGGCTTGGGCATTCGGCTGGCGAAGTGGCTGGGCTGGGCTGGACCAGCTAGGGCTTGGGCATTGTCGGCTGGCTAAGCCCCCGGCTTGAGCTGCGAAGGGGTTGATTGACCGGGCTGGTGGGCTGGGCCCTGGTGCGTAGGGGCTGAGGCGGGTGGGTCTAAAATCTGAAGGCAAGGAGGGTGGCGGGGGTTCAGGTCCCGAGTGGGCTTGGGCATTATTGGCTGGCTGAGCCCTTGATTGACCGGGCTGGGACTGGGGAAGGGGGCTCTGGGCTGGGCTGGGTGCTGCTGTTGCGGGGTTGTGGGCTGCTGGGCTGCTGGGCTGGGCCCTGGTGCGTAGGGGCTGAGACGGTTGGGTCTAAAATCTGAAGGCAAAGAGGGTGGCGGGATTTGGTTCAGCTTGCCTGCGTCATGCGGCTCGCAGGTTACCATGGCGGATTTGCCTACGGGGCTGCATGAACTGAACTGCCCTTGTTTGTTCCTTCGTAAAGTTGTCGGAGAAATGTTGCGACTTTGCATCTACATACATATCATAGAGACTGTGAGAAGTGCAAAGACCATGCAGGGACTTGAGCCAGTGGACACAAATTCTGGCGATCTTCTCCATATCATGGACTCTTCAGCGAGGCGTTTCAGAATCCGAGTCATGCACTGTATTGGTCTTGCGCACTCTGCTTTTCTGCGCCACTTGCCTGTGCTGGTTCCGCAAGTCGAAGCAGTTGTCGTTGGTGAAACATCCGCGCGCGGGAGCAGCTGCTGTGCTCCGCGCACCTGGGAACTCGAAGTTTCATATGTGGCGAATGGAATAGGTCGGGTGCTGCTGCAGAGAGTCTTCTAACTCAGCGTGAGAGAGTAGCGCGGGTCGCTCCTGCAGGGAGTCAAGCAGGACGAAGTGATTGCTGCTCCAACGCTTCAGCGCTACCCAGTGCCGACCGTTGAGGTTCTGGATGGCTCCGAAGCATTCATCCAAATCCTCTTTGACCAAAGCTCTCTGGTCAGATACTTGCCAGCAGAGACGATTGAACATTTGCATGGATTTGCTCCGCACAGCCATGAAAAGGATCTCGATGGAGTAGTCGCCTCCAGGACTCATGTGGAGGCCCAGATCGTCGCCAAGTTCCCAGTTCTCCTCGAGGAAAGCCGCTGCGGCCTGCTCGAGGTCGATTGCCGTGAAATGACGTGCGCCCAAAGCATTGTTCAATGCATGGATGCCGCACCTGAGCTCCACCTGCTTCTCGAAGTAACACGGGAACTCCTCCAGGTTCTGCCCTTCTAGTTCTTGTTCTGGGCTTCCCTGTCTTGTGGACTTCGCTGCTGGAGTCGATGGCGGTGGCTCATCTGCTTTGCGCTTGTTGCTGCTGTTGCTGCCTGCTGGCGTTGCTTTGGCGTTGGCCAGGACTTTGGGCTGTCTCCCCGCCTCCGTCTTCTTCGGGCTGAGATCACGCACCTCGGACCCCAGATTTGTTGAGGATAATCGCTTTGGCCTCGTCCCCGCCTCCTCCTTCTCCGGGATGAGACTTCACACCTGGGACCCCATGTTGGTTGAGGAGAAGTGCTGCGGTCTCCCCGCCGCCGTCTTCTTCGGGCTGAGATCACGCACCTCGGACCCTTTTTTTGTTGAGGATAAGCGCTCCGGCCTCGTCCCCGCCTTCGCCTTCTTCGGGTTGGGACCCCATATTGGTTGAGGATAAGCCCTCCGGCCTCGTCCCCTCCGCTTTCTTCAGGTTGAGACCACACACCTGGGACGTTGAGGACAAGCGTGCTGGATCGGTTGAGGATAAGCGTTCCGGCCTCTTCCCCGCCTTCGCCTTCTCCGGATTGGGACCCCGTAGTTCCCGCCTCCACTTTCTTCGGGCTGTGAGATGTCACACTTGGAACCCCATATTGGTTGAGGGTAAGCGCTCCGGCCTCGTCCCCGCCTCCAGTTTCTTCGGGCTGCGAGACGTCACACCTGGAACCCCATATTGGTTGAGGGTAAGCGCTCCGGCCTCGTCCTCGCCTCCAGTTTCTTCGGGCTGCGAGACGTCACATCACACCTGGAACCCCATATTGGTTGAGGGTAACCGCTCTGGCCTCGTCCCCGCCTCTGCTTTCTTCGGGTTGGGACCCCATCTTGGTTGAGGATAAGCGCTCCGGCCTTGTCCCCGCCTTCGCTTTCCCTGAAACCCCATATTGGTTGAGGACAAGCGCTCCGGCCTCGTCCCCGCCTCTGCCGTCTTCTCAGCTTAAAACCATGCACCTGAAACCCCATCTTGGTTGAGGATACGTCCCCGCCTCCGGCCTGAGATCCCAGACTTCGGAAACCCATATTGGTTGAGGATATCTCTGGCCTGATCCCCGCCTCCGTGTTCTTCTCAGGTTGAGACCATGCACCTGAAGCCCCATATTGGTTGAGTATACGTGTGTTGAAGATAAGCGCTCCGGCCTCGTCCCCGCCTCCGTCTTCATCTCGGGTTGAGCCCACGTGCCTGGAACCCCATATTGGTTGAGGATAAACGCCCTGGCCTCGACCCCGCCCCTGCCTTCCTCGGGTTGAGACCATGCTATATCTCCCCGTATGTGTCTACTGAATGCTGAATAACAGCTGCGTCGGATAGGAGTCGCTCGTAGTCATCGGGCATACCCCAAGAGTGCATGCGCGTGATGCAAGTGCTTCCCGTGCACCTTTTGGACTCTCAAGGGAAGAGGTTCTTATCGCCGGACCTGGCGCTCAGACGGCTGCCGTGGCCTCCTGGGCTGTGCTGTGGCAGGGACGTGCCCGCATGTTCTTCTTCGTTGTGCTGGTCCGGCCTGGAAGACATCCTCTTCCCAGAAACAAATGCTGTCCGAAAGATACCACCAGGGTATCCACGCGCCGTGCGGCACCCTTTGCCAAATGTATCCTGGTTGCACGTCAGTGTGCAGGTTCTGTTCTCTCGCTCTTGCTTGCTGGCCTGCCCACCCATTCTTCCTGAGAAGATTTCTTTTCTCTTCGACGGTGGCACAGGCCTAGCGCAACTAGCGTCAACCACCGTCGGCAGATGCTGGCTTGGTGTGCGTTGCTCGGCCCCTGACGCCCAGTTGGCTCTTGATGCTGTCCAACGGGCTCGGAGCTTCGCGCTCCGGTTTCCCGGCTCTGTCACGGCGGCGGGGCCTGCAGCGCCATCGTGTTCAGCAGAGACATCACGAGCGCTTCTTAAGGCCCCGACGGACACAACCCGAGTCGGCGTGCACAGGGAGGGCCTCGATAAAGGTAAACGGCATATCAGGACTCCTCACTCGTAGAGCGTCCGAGGCTCGGGCACAACATCGCGTTGTGTGTCTCTTCTCCCTCGTATCCGGGGTCGATGCCCAAGTATCGGGCATATTCCTTGCACTCCTGGCGTAAAAACAAAGCCGAGTAAATGAGAAGTAGTTTCCCGCGACACATCCTCAGGTGCGGGCGCAGCACCGCAGTATACCTTCCGATCTCTCGAAACAGATTGTCCCTGTCGCCATAGCTTCTCCGAGGGGGACCGCTGGCTAGGAATTGCTCAATGAACAAGAGCTGCGTTCATAAGCTGCTGGGAGCAGGTACTCCTGCATGCGTCTGGCTGCACTACATGCTCAGTGATGGTCTCTTTCTCTGATATCCTTTTGCAATTGTCCCGCTTGCGAGCGCGGATACTCCATGGCTCGCCTTCGGCGACTCCGTCTCCTTCAGTGTTCGCCTGAATGGGACTCCGTATTGAGGATAAGCCCTCCCGGCCGTGTCCTTGCCTCTGTCTTGTTTAGCTTGAGCTTCCACACCGTCTTCTTCGGCTTGAGCTTCCACACCTCGGAAACCCATATTGGTTGAGGATAAGCCCTCCCGGCCTCGTCCTTGCCTCCGTCTTCTTCCGCTTGAGCTTCCACGCCTCGGAAACCCATATTGGTTGAGGATAAGCCCTCCCGGCCTCGTCCTTGCCCCCGTCTTTTTCCGCTTGAGCTTCCACGCCTCGGAAACCCATATTGGTTGAGGATAAGCCCTCCCGGCCTGGTCCTTGCCCCCGTCTTCTTCGGCTTGAGCGTCCACGCCTCGGAAACCCATATTGGCTGAGGATAAGCCCTCCCGGCCTCCTCCTTGCCTCTGTCTTCCTCCGCTTAAGCGTCCACGCCTCGGAAACCCATATTGGTTGAGGATAAGCCCTCCCGGCCTCCTCCTTGCCTCTGTCTTCTTCCGCTTGAGCGTCCACGCCTCGGAAACCCATATTGGTTGAGGATAAGCCCTCCCGGTCGTGTCCTTGCCTCTGTCTTCTTCCTCCACGCCTCGGAAACCCATATTGGTTGAGGATAAGCCCTCCCGGCCTCCTCCTTGCCTCTGTCTTCTTCCGCTTGAGCGTCCACGCCTCGGAAACCCATATTGGTTGAGGATAAGCCCTCCCGGTCTTGTCCTTGCCTCTGTCTTCTCCTCCGTGCCTCTGTCTTCTTCCGCTTGAGCTTCACGCCTCGGAAACCCATATTGGTTGAGGGTAAGCCCTCCCGGTCTTGTCCTTGCCTCTGTCTTCTTCCGCTTGAGCTTCACGCCTCGGAAACCCATATTGGTTGAGGGTAAGCCCTCCCGGTCTGGTCCTTGCCTCTGTCTTCTTCGGCTTGAGCTTCCACACCTCGGAAACCCATATTGGTTGAGGATACACTCTCCCGGCCTTGTCCTTGCCTCTGTCTTCTTCAGCTTGAGCCTTCATGCCTCGGAAACCCATATTGGTTGAGGATACACTCTCCCGGCCTTGTCGTTGCCCTTCTGCAGCTTGAGGGAAACCCATATTGGTTGGGGATAAACCCTCCCGGCCTTGTTCTTGCCCTTCTTCAGCTTGAGCTTCCACGCCTCGGAAACCCATATTGGTTGAGGATAAGTCCTCCCGGCCTTGTCCTTGCCTCTGTCTTCTTCAGCTTGAGCTTCTACGCCTCGGAAACCCATATTGGTTGAGGAGAAGCTCTCCCGGCCTTGTCCTTGCCTCCGTCTCCTTCAGCTTGAGCTTCCACGCCTCGGAAACCCATATTGGTTGAGGATATTCTTCTTTTCTTCAGCTTGAGCCTTCTACGCCTCGGAAACCCATATTGGTTGAGGATACACTCTCCCGGCCTTGTCGTTGCCCTTCTGCAGCTTGAGGGAAACCCATATTGGTTGGGGATAAACCCTCCCGGCCTTGTTCTTGCCCTTCTTCAGCTTGAGCTTCCACGCCTCGGAAACCCATATTGGTTGAGGATAAGTCCTATTGGTTGAGGATAAGTCCTCCCGGCCTTGTCCTTGCCTCTGTCTTCTTCAGCTTGAGCTTCTACGCCTCGGAAACCCATATTGGTTGAGGAGAAGCTCTCCCGGCCTTGTCCTTGCCTCCGTCTCCTTCAGCTTGAGCTTCCACGCCTCGGAAACCCATATTGGTTGAGGATATTCTTCTTCAGCTTGAGCTTCCACGCCTCGGAAACCCATTGGTTTCAGGATAAGCCCTCCCGGCCTTGCCTCTGTCTTCTTCGACTTGTGAGCTTCCACACCTCGGAAACCCATACTGGTTGAGGATAAACCCTCCCGGCCTTGTCGTTGCGCTTCTGCAGCTTGAGACGCCACGTCTTGGAAACCCATATTGGTTGATGATAAACCCTCCCGGCCTTGTCCTTGCCCTTCTTCAGCTTGAGCTTCCACGCCTCGGAAACCCATATTGGTTGAGGATGGCTCACCCCCGCCTTGTCCCTGCCTCTGTCTTCTTCAGCTTGAACTTCCACACCTCGGAACCCCATATTGGTTGAGGATGAGCCCTCCCGGCCTTGTCCCTGCCCCTGTCTTCTTCAGCTTGAGCTTTCACGCCTCGGAAACCCATACTGGTTGAGGATGAGCCCCCCCCCGGCCGTGTCCCTACCTGTGTCTTCTTCAGCTTGAACTTCCGCACCTCGGAACCCCATGTTGGTTGAGGATGGGCCCTCCCAGCCTTGTCCTTGCATAGGTACTCCGGCCTCTCCTCGCCTCCGTCCTGTTCGAGTTGAGACCACGCACCTCGGACCCGATATTGGTTGAGGACAAGTGCTCCGGCCTGGTTCCCGCCTCCATCCTCTTCAAGTTGAGACCGCGCACCTGGGACCCCATATTGCTTGAGGATAGGCACTCCGGCCTGGTCTCGGCTTCTGTTCTCTCCAGACCACGGACCTGGGAACCCATGACAGTTGAGGATAGGCGATCCGGCCTTGTCGCCGCCTCCGTCTTCTTCAGGTTGAGACCACGCGCCGAGAACGTATTCTGAGAGTAAGTCCTTCGAGCCTGTTGTCGCCTCCTCTTGAAGCTCGCCTTCTTCTGGCTTCAAGCACCTGGCACTGATGCACGCTGCGGTAGGGCGCGCACCTAGGACCCCATATCGGTTGAGGATAAGTGCTCCGCCCTCGTCCCCACCTTCACCTTCTTCGGGCCGAGAGCGCGTACCTGGGACTCCACGTTGGTCGAGGATAAGCGCTCCGGCCTCGTCCCCGCCTCCGCTTTCGCACCTGGGACCCCTTATTGGTTGAGGATAAGCGCTCCGGCCTCGTCCCTGCCGAGCACGCACCTGGGACCCCAGCTCCGGCCTCGTCCCCGCCTCCGCCTTCTTCGGGCTGAGACCACGCGCCTGGAATCCTGTATTGCGCCGGCCTGGTCCGCGAGAGCACGCACCTGGGACCCCATATTGGTTGAGGATAAGCGCTCCCGCTTCGGAGCATGCGCCTGGAACATATTGGTTGAGGATAAGCGCTCCGGCCTCGTCGCCTTCTTCGGGCTGAGACCGCGCACCTGGGACCCCATATTGGTTGAGGATGAGTGCTCCGGCCTCGTCCCTGCCTCCGCCTTCTTCGACTGAGACCACGCACCTGGAACCCCACATTGGTTGAGGACAGCGCTCACCTCCTCACTTCGGTCTCTTGGGGTTGGGACCACGTACCTGGGACACCATGCAGGCGAGCCTGCACGGCTTCGTTCCCGCTCCCGGCCTTCTTCTTCTTGAGGATACGCACCTGGCACTCTACGCTGGTTGCGGTCTAAGTGAGCGGGTTGAGGGGAGGAGGGTGGGGAGGTCACTGCCTTGCGGTGCGGGGTTCGGGGGAGGGAAGGGGAGGGAGGGAAGGGGGGGAGGGAGCGGGGGGACCCTCCGGAGGGGGCACCGGGTGGGGGGGAGGGGGGGGGGGAGGGTGGGGACACACCCCATTTTAGTTGAGGATTGCCCACTACCCCCCCGTGAGACTCGTGCCACCCCCCCGGAGGAGGCACCGGGTGGGGAGGGGGAGGGAAGGGGGGAGGGTGGGGGAGGGGCCCGGGGGGTGGGAACCAACACCCCATTTCAGTTGAGGATTGTTGGTGTCTGCCCACTACCCTCCCGCCCCAGGAGGAGGGGGGAGGGCGCTCAGGGGGAGGGGGGCGGGGGGAAGACCCCACACCCCATTTTAGTTGAGGATTGTTCTCTCGGCCTTGTCGCTGAGACCACACACCTCGGCAACCACATTGGTTGAGGCTCACGCTTCCATACCTTGGATTGTCCTTGCCTCTGTCTTCTTCGGCTTGAGCTTCCACACCTCGGAACCCCATACCGGTTGAGGATAAGCCTTCCCGCCTTGTCTCTGCCTCTGTCTTCTTCGGCTGGAGCTTCCATACCCCGGAAACCCACATCGGTTGAGTATAAACCCTCCCGGCCTTATCCTTGCCTCTGTCTTCTTCGACTTGTGAGCTTCCACGCCTCGGAAACCCGTACTAGTTGAGGATAAACCCTCCCGGCCTTGTCGTTGCGCTTCTGCAGCTTGAGACCCCACGTCTTGGAAACCCATATTGGTTGATGATACACCCTCCCGGCCTTGTCCTTGCCCTTCTTCAGCTTGAGCTTCCACGCCTCGGAAACCCATACTGGTTGAGGATGAGCCCCCCCCCGGCCTTGTCCCTACCTGTGTCTTCTTCAGCTTGAACTTCCACACCTCGGAACCCCATGTTGGTTGAGGATGGGCCCTCCCGGCCTTGTCCTTGCCTCGGAAACTTATATTGGTTGAGGATAAGCCCTCCCGGCCTCGTTCTTACCTCTGTCTTCTTCAGCTTGAGCTTCCTGGGGCCACGCACTTCGAACCCCGGCCTTGTCCTTGCCTCCGTCGTCTTTTTGCTGGGGTCACGCACCTCGGACCTCATATTGGTTGAGGCCTCGTCCTTTCTCTTTTCTCCAAGATGAAACCATGCACCTGGGACCCTATCTTGGTTGAGGATAGGCACTCCGGCCTCTCCTCGCCTCCGTCCTGTTCGAGTTGAGACCACGCACCTCGACCCGATTTTGGTTGAGGAGAAGTGCTCCGGCCTGGTTCCCGCCTCCATCCTCTTCAAGTTGAGACCGCGCACCTGGGACCCCATATTGATTGAGGATAGGCACTCCGGCCTGGTCTCGGCTTCTGTTCTCTCCAGACCACGAACCTGGGAACCCATGACAGTTGAGGATAGGCGATCCGGCCTTGTCGCCGCCTCTGTCTTCTTCAGGTTGAGACCACGCGCCGAGAACGTATTCTGAGAGTAAGTCCTTCGAGCTTGTTGTCGCCTCCTCTTGAAGCTCGCCTTCTTCTGGCTTCAAGCACCTGGCACTGATGCACGCTGCGGTAGGGCACGCACCTAGGACCCCATATCGGTTGAGGATAAGTGCTCCGCCCTCGTCCCCACCTTCCCCTTCTTCGGGCCGAGATCGCGTACCTGGGACTCCACGTTGGTCGAGGATAAGCGCTCCGGCCTCGTCCCCGCCTCCGCTTTCGCACCTGGGACCCCTTATTGGTTGAGGATAAGCGCTCCGGCCTCGCCCTGCCGAGCACGCACCTGGGACCCCCGCTCCGGCCTCGTCCCCGCCTCCGCCTTCTTCGGGCTGAGACCACGCGCCTGGAACCCCATATTGCGCCGGCCTGGTCCGCGAGAGCACGCACCTGGGACCCCATATTGGTTGAGGATAAGCGCTCCCGCCTCCGAGCACGCGCCTGGGACATATTGGTTGAGGAAAAGCGCTCCGGCCTCGTCGCCTTCTTCGGGCTGAGACCACGCACCTGGGACCCCATATTGGGTGAGGATAAGTGCTCCGGCCTCGTCCCTGCCTCCGCCTTCTTCGACTGAGACCACGCACCTGAAACATTGGTTGAGGATAATCAGCGCTCACCTCCTCACTTCGGTCTTCTTGGGGTTGGGACCACGTACCTGGGACACCATGCAGGCGAGCCTGCACGGCTTCGTTCCCGCTCCCGGCCTTTTTCTTCTTGAGGATACGCACCTGGCACTCCACGCTGGTTGCGGTCTAAGTGAGCGGGTTTGGGAGGGGGGTGGGAGGGGCAGAGCGAGGGGGAGGGAAGGGAGCGGGGGAGGGAAGGGGGGGAGGGAGGGGGGGGACCCTCCGGAGGGGGGCACCGGGTGGGGGGGGGAGGGAGGGGGGGAGTGGGGAGGGGTGCGGGGAGCCACACCCCATTTTAGTTGAGGATTGTTTTTACCCCCCGTGAGACTCGTGCCACCCTCCGGAGGAGGCACCGGGTGGGGACGGGGAGGGAGGGGGGGAGGGTGGGGGAGGGGGGCGGGGAGGGGCGGGAACCAACGCCCCATTTTAGTTGAGGATTGTCTTTTGGTGTCTGCCCACTACCCTCCCGGCCCAGGAGGGGGGGGGGAGGGCGGGGGAGGGGGGGCGGGGGGGAGACCCCGCACCCCATTGATTTCTGCCACTACCTTCCCTGAGAATTCGTGCCACCCTGCCACCTCTGGAAGGGAGGCCGTCAATAGGGCATGGGAGGGGGAGGGAGGGGAGGGGGAAGGTCGGCTAGCTCCTGAACTGCATACCTTCAGGTTCCTGTTTTGTTTGAGGAAAAGCTCTCCGGATAAGCCCTCTCAGCCTTGTCGCTGAGACCACACACCTCGGCAACCCACATTGGTTGAGGCTCAAGCTTCCATACCCTGGATTGTCCTTGCCTCTGTCTTCTTCGGCTTGAGCACCCACACCTCGGAACCCCATACCGGTTGAGGATAAGCCTTCCCGCCTTGTCCCTGCCTCTGTCTTCTTCGGCTGGAGCTTCCACACCCCGGAAACCCACATCGGTTGAGGATAAGCTCTCCCGGCCTTGCCGTTGCCTCTGTCTTCTCCGACTTGTGAGCTTCC